GTTGCGGCGGCAACACTGGTAAAATTAAAAATATGAAACACTCAAGTGATGGCATTGTGCGCTGTATGCCGCCGCCGCGGCAGACTGTAATAATAGACCGTCAGCCTATAATGTATTACTATTTACTAAATATATTTGACAAGCCTGGGCAAAACGAGTTAAAAGGTTGAGGTTAAGTTAAAAGTTAAGTATGTAACAGTAAAGTATGTTTCCATGTAACTTTCAACTTAACTGAATTGAAAAAAATTAGGAAAACTATTAACTTTAAACTTCTCAAATGTTTATAATCAACTTAACTTAACTCAATTAAAAATTATCATTAATTTGCCCAGGCTTGCTATTTTTTATGATATCATTGTGATTAATGTAATTAGTTTTACTATTAGGAATTAGCACGACTGTAGGTTAATTTAATTGTTGCCAAAAATATTAGATGCATTTGAAAATGTATTGTGTGTATAAAGTATAATAATTTACTCTAAAAGTTTTATATACCCATGAATATTATTTTGAAATTACAACAAAATAACTAAAATCGTTATTCTTGCATGCCATCCAAATTTGATCTTATAATGTCTGTAAAAAATAACTATACTAACATTATAAACTATTTATGAGAATCCTTGTTTGCATTTTCAATCTTTAGCTGATAGAAATTTCAAATAGGCATGTCTACGATTTATAGTTTTTGAATTACAAAAAAATAAGAAAATCGTTGTATATTAAGTTACGGGTGATTATGCAATCAAAAAATGTAAAAATGTAATTCAAATCTTAGGTATAAATAGAAACATTTTTATGAATTTTAAATTTGAAATAATTTGCCAATTTTTGAGATTTGATGAATTGTTTAAAAATGTTGTCTTCAGTCACTCATAAAAGTTATTGTGGATTTACGCTTAACTTTTTTTTTTAATTTCCACTAACATCAACTTATGTGAAACGTTAAATTTCCTTTTCAAGTTTTAAAATTTGAATTTTTTCAGTTTTTAATTCTATAAATGTCCATATTATAATGTCATTCGTTGGGTCCAAAAGATTGAAAACTAAATAAAAAGCTCCTAAAAAATTTGATATAATTGCAATGATCAATTTTTAAAGCTAGAGATTGAAAATTTAAAACAAGTTTTCACGTAAATATTATGTTATATATAAATTATTTTATTCACAATAATATCAACAAATATACTTAGTCATATCATAGGCTGACCGTTTTCGCTCAGGATCGTTTTTCTTATGCAATGATATTATATCATTGAATTCAAATTTTACACTATCCATTACAGTGACCCACTTGTAACCTACTGTACAGCAGAGCGACACACACTTCCCCAGATTTGTATTGTTGACATTACAGATAACTGATTACAAATTAGTGATTACTAATTAGTAAAATCTATTACTAGTAAAGTAAATTATAATTATTAATTTAATATAGATCTGTGCGTATGATTCGATATACCTATGCGGCTATGCCTATATTATAGTTATCGCTATATCTATAATTATTTTCAATTATCAAGCTATTGGATTTGGAAAGCTATAATGCTATATCATTTGATGTTCAAATTCCTGATACGTTGTACGTTTTATAATAATATTGTACTCAGTACGCGCTGTTCAATTTTCTAAAATAATAAAAATGAGAAGATAAAATTAATATTTTTTGACGAATAAGATTATATGAAGTCCCCCGCCAGCGTTTAATGATAAAAATAACACTTTATAAAACACCCTAATATTTTTATGTATTGATGGATCGATGTATAATCTATATACAATGCATATTATTTTTTAATGTAAGCACCCCCCATTAAAAATAGCTGGGTATGCCACTAGGTACGTGCAACGCCGGAAGTTAGCATTATATATTTTATTCTTATTGTATTGTTTGTATTGCTTAGTTGGTGGTAATTTAAAAAAACCAGGACGTAAGTAATTGATTAAAAAATGTTATATGTTGATTATTGCTTAAAATATTGTGTATCGATCAAATAAATCTTTAAATTGTTAAGCATTTATAATTCATGTATATTTATTACTGTGCAATGTGCATGTAAAAAAAATGTTACACTATAATAAGTAAACTAATATATTTTGTTGCAGAATATACCAATGCTTTTCTAGCAACATTAGGAACAGGTAATAATTAATAAAGTAGTTAAAATGCATAGATCGGATATTTAATATAATATTTTAAGATTAGTTAAAATACGCACTAAGTAGGCACCAATAACAGGTTCTATAATATTATTATATTCCAAAATATAATAATATACATTTTCATAATAAAAAAATTAATTTAAACCAAACTGTTTTTATTCTTATATTTTAGGTCAGACTTCTATGGGGCCATTAAATCATTGTAATAACCTACAAAACATTGAACCTAGTTAGATTTAATTAATACATAAAGAATTTTAATCTTTCATTATATATGTACTCGCACTTTTAAAATTATGATGGTTTAATGTAAGAAATTTTGTTCTTTATTAGATAAAACGATTTTATATTTCATATTTATGATTTATATGATCTTATTAGATATATTAACAACATCGTTTTATCTGATAAAGCATAATTTTGCTATATTTTATTATGTGTTATAATAATATCCCAACATCATTATACATTTTTTTTTATTATTATTAATACGTGCACATGTGATAAACATATTTTATTTATTTAACGGGCTAGGATCTTTTTGGCATAATGTATATTAAAATTCAAAAGTATATTATTAACGTAAATAAGTACATGCTTAATCAAATATATACAACAATTAAATAAAGAAAAAAACGTTTAAAATATTTAAAAAAATTAGGCGTTCGCAATCAACCTTCTCACTGGTTCGTTAGCTAAATAATTGCATGGTGACATGAGGCCGGGCCTCAATAATAATATCGTTCTTGTCTATTTATATTAAGCGAAATAATATTGTAATTCATTACGTAAAAGTGTAAAACCCTTGTTCAGCGGCGCACATTATTTCGTGAACTCGTGATGGAAATATTCATATAGTGTGGCCCGAGATGAAGATTTATCCTACACTTCACTTGAGCTAAAAATCGTTTAGGATCGCTCAGCTCAGAATCTAAAATTTAGTTTTATCATATCATACAATTAATTTATATAAAACAAAAAGTACAAACACGCATTAGAGCAACATCTAGGACATAAGCTAATATGCAGTTACAATACTAGGTATGAGTGTATGACCATATTTTGAATTTTCTTATAAAACAATACATTATTATTGACACAAAAAGAACAGTTGTTTTTTTAACGTCCGCCGGCTTGTGCCTTACAATGCAATGCAATAGGATATATATTATATAACCGTGTATATAGCTGTGGTAACTATGAAAATATTATTATACCGTGTACCAGGTTACTGTACCTACCATATAATGTATATGCCTAGTATGTTTGAGTGAAAATCAAGATGTAGGTACCCACTGTTACCTAAATATACTGGGTGATTCTTTTATCAAACAACACTCATTATTTCAAAAATTGTAAATTTTTTTGAAAATATTTTTTTACATAGTTTCAAGTCGCTTATAAAACAACGTTTTTATTAAAAAATTATATTTTTAAATATTTTTTATCCTTATAATTTTTTAAGTTTTTTACTTTTTTGAATAACAACATAGGGTTTTAATTTTATAATCCAAAGCAGAATATTTTGCTTAGTATTTTGATACATTAAAATCGAATTTGAGGCGAGTAGTTTACGAGTTATAAGTATTTAAAGTTTAGACGAGCGGAGTGGAGTGGTTCGGGGTTACCCCGCGAAATGTTTGTCCACTTCACCACTCATCAAACTTTGAATACTTATAACTCGTAAACTACTCGCCTCAAATTCGATTTTAATAAATCAAAATACTAAGAAAAATATTCTGCTTTGGATTATAAAATTAAAACCCTATGTTGTCATTTAAAAAAGTAAAAAACATAAAAAATTATAAGGATAAAAAATATAATTTTTTTATAAAAACGTTGTTTTATAAGCGACTTGAAACTATGTAAAAAAATATTTTCAAAAAATTTACACTTTTTGAAATAATGAGTGTTGTTTGATAAAAGAATCACCCAGTATATATATATAATAACGAGGAATGACGTCTGGTCAAATGCGCTCAGGTGCTGCGAATATTATATTGTTACGATACGATTTCAGAGGTAGCACTTTTACTCGGTGGCAATAAAGAATAGTAGTTTATTATAATATTTGGTCTCCTGCTCCACGTGATAATATTATCATTTTTTTTGTTATAAAAAAAGATTTAAGCTCGAAAACAATAAGGTAAACGAACGAAAGAGTTCGTAGTCAGTTCGCATAAAACTGCCGCGTGCTTATATTATTATATAATATCATAATATACCTATAATAGTCCCTATGTTATATCTGGTCTTTCGTATACGGCCTAAACGCCCAGGTGGCCCGTTTCCACAAGTTCGTATATTTTGATTTCTGCAGCAATCGAAATATACTAATGATATTTTACGTATTAATCTACAGTAGTCAGTACTCAGTAGGTATATACGAATGTTTAGACCGTCGTTACCGTTTTGCCGTTTTGGGTTCCCGCGAGGCTACGGGCAGTGCAGTATACGAAACGGCATGACGATAGTCGATACCCATTGAATATAATCTAAAATAATAATAATAATGGTATTCTAAAGTATCTTAGATATTATTTCGTAACATAATACACGTGTACATATAATATTATATAAAATAGGTACCTATATTGATAAAATAGTATAATATTACATTATATTATATTATACGTAAGGATACAACACGTTAAATTCAACATTTAACACACACACACAACAAACACATATACACGCATGCACACACACTCACACGCGTGTTAAATAATAATAATAATAAAAATAATAATAATAATAATAATAATGATAATAATAATCGTAACGTTTATAACGTAACGATGTATCATAATATTATACATATAGTAATAAATTAGTTTTTATGAAGTCTTATAGTCCCGCGTGTGCGCCGTTTCCGGTTCCTGTCGCCAGCTTCCGTCGCCGTGGTTGACGGCCCTCTGCTGAACGAGATGCTTGGGCGGCGTCTTGAGATCGTACGCCCAACCGATGGCGGCGAACAGGTCTAGCCACAACGTGGTCGTGTTCAACAGGTATCCGCCGAGCTCGGCCGCCCTGTAGTCCCACGGGAACACGTGATGATAGTTGTGCCAGCCCTCGCCCATAGCCACGATGGACACCACCACGTTCTGTGCCGGTTGAATGCGTCTGTGAAACGGGTAGAAACGGAGTTGTTAAGAGGTTTAGAGTGGGCGTGTATTTCAATAATATTCAATGGCTTGTCTTCTTTTTATTTTTCTATACGGCGGGGGATGATTTTTTGGATAGGTGGTGTCAATCAACTGAGAAAATATGTTTTTTTTAAATTTCCGCAGGAAGGTCTAGACACCAGATTTAACTTAGCTTCCTTCTACCTCTCCACTTCACCTAAATACACCTCTCGAGAAGCAGACCCATTTTGTACTGCAGGTATCAATATCGGGAGCATTCCTGTTAAATAATGGATTCGTTTTAATTACTTGTCATACGGCTTGCTTCCCCAGATGTGAGCTACGCTGTTGACGGACCACGTGAAGTTCAAGTTCAACACGTACCGGACAACGGCCAGTGAGCTGATGGCTTCCACCCAGTTTTCATTCAACGCGTACACCGATATCAAAACGGGTATGATGAAACAGAACAACATCTTGAACAAAAAAAAATGTCTGAAACGATAAAAAATTTGTATAAATTATTGTGACCTCATGTATCTGTGATTGTAGTTGTAATACACTGTTTAAGCGTCGTGCAGGCCGAAATATCTCTAAAAAATCAAAAAGCATCGGTAGCAAAATATATATTATATTATTTCACTATCGCCTTACGAAATGATCGTCTTTTTACATTACACTGATCGGCAATAAAATATAATAATTGAATATAAATAATGATATTGCATCATCTACAGTGTCCATTACAAGACATTTTATTATTAGCGTTGTTTCACATACCGTGCGGGGAACCAACGGTTACAGAGACGATGATCGTTCCTGTACTAACAAGGTAAAGTACTTATCCTCTAAAATCGGTGCCACGTACCTATTACCGAAATAATAAAGTGGATAAACCACACAAAACCAAAAATTATTAATTTATACATTTTAACGTGTTTGCTTTTACACAATAGTTTCAAAATTAAACTTGTACCTATATAGTATTTTCACTGGAAGACAAGACGTCTAATATTGGTCTTTCTAAATTCAATAAACTCAACCAATATTTGGGTCAGTTCCAGAACGACTAGAACTGTAACGACCCAGTCATCCCAAACGCTCTTATAGACGTATACGACATAAAAATTCGATTAAATTATAGGTATAGGGAACTTAGATAACATGGTGAATGCGAGTTTTACGACTCATAAAAAAGATGACAAGACTAAGTAAATAAATAACAAAAGAAACAGTTGGAAAACAATTTATCTGGAAACCCGAGTCCAAAACGACGAATAAAAAATATCATTTAGACTTTGATAACGAGAATTGTTTAGAAACACCATTGGTAATTTAATATCATATTACAGTATTATTTGATAAGACTTTAAAAAAAAAAGGTTAGATAATTTTGAGCATTTTGGTAAGTATTGAAGACAATATTATACAGTTTTATCCAGAGACATAATAAATTACAACTGCGATATTTTTACGCGGAACCATTAGCCACTTGGTCTACGAAAATTTGGAATAAACTTTGTAAATTTTTTGTGTGAATCGATCTGTGGGCCGTGGACCAGAGTTGGCAAAAACCCGAGCTTTATATAAAAAACCCCAAAAAACCCAATGGGTTTTAATGTAAAAGTAACAATGGGCTGTTTTATGGGGTTTTTTCTGAAAAAAACCTATCCGAAAAATCGGAATTTTTTCCATGTAATAGCTGCACTGTTTTTTGATTTTTCCCTTATCTATTATTATATTACCAAGTATTTGTTATTTTGTTAATTGTTAATTTTTGTTTAGATTATTCATACCGGAAAGTTCCTTATTTAATACCTTATTAAAAATAAAATATTGTTAACAATTCTATTGACCGTCGGTATGTAATTTTTTTAATTTTTAATTTTTAATTGTACCTAGGTACCTAATCAAAAAAATAATTATGGAATATTTTACAAATCAGTTTAATACTTTTTTTTTATTGAACAAAAATTTATATTTTCAATCTGTATTTACAAGTTATACAATAAGTAAATGGGATGTGGTATGATTGACGGGACGGTGAAGTCACCCAATGGTTTCACACCATAGTTTAATACTTAATTAGAAAAATAAATAATACCTATAAGTAAGGTACATTTTTCAAAAAATTAACCCAAATTAAAAAAAATAAGAGTGAATTTATATTTTATCCAGAAAAGCAGCCCGAGGTTTTTTAAAATATCAAATGGGTTTAACCCAGAAAAGCAGCCCGGGTTTTTCGGGCTGGGGTTTTCCGTGCCAACCCTGCTGTGGACCAATGTTGCACATATATATTATAATAATTGACATACACACTTGGAAAAGCAATGAAATTGTTATTACAGTAAAACTTCCATTAACGGTCACCTCTATGTAATGGTCAATTTTGTTGGTCCCTTCGAGTGTTATCATAGTGTTATCCTACCTCTGTAGGACGGGCACCTCTAAATAGCGGTTATTATTTAAAGTCCCTTGGGTGACCGTTATATGGAAGTTCTACTGTATATTATTGTGTGTGTGACAACTGTCAGATCAATACAGTCTTACAGGGGCATACGCGACTATTGATTTTATAATAATAGGTAATTATACTAATATTATACTATAGTATGTTATATAAAATCAATTTAACGAATAATACCCCATAGAGTGTATCCAAGGGCGAAGCTAAAAATTTCATCAGGGGGGAGGGTGTATTTTTAAATGTTTACGCAAATTTAAAATTTTGTTAAACATTAATATTAAATTATATTAGGTATATATTGGGGGTAATTTCCCCCCCCCCACAACGCCTCCAGGTGTGTATCCGTCGTATCTGCTGTCTGCGTAAAACGTGCAGTCGGGAAACCACTGCCTTAGCTGTATAGGTAGTATCTTAAATGTATAATATTATCGTGTACTCACTTGGTGTGAAACTGCACCAGTGGATCGTTGTTGATGTCGGACATGTCGATGGTCTTGCCCTTTCTGTAGACCTCGGGGTGTTTGCGTTGCATCAGCCAACCGACGTGCGAGAAGAAGAAGCCCCTGTTTGCATTGTGTGGGTCGGCGTCCGTCTCGCTGAACTTGTGATGCACCCGATGGTCGCGAACCCAATCCGGTATGTTGTTCTATACGGACGAACGAAATTTTATACAATTTAAGAATGTTTATAGGTAACCAAGTGTGTACCTATTGCAGTTAATAATATATAATAATACAATTTAATTGTAATTTAAGGGGCCTGGTCGCGACGTGTTTTTTTGCTCAAAAACATGCCTTACAGGAAAAACTCTCACGCCTTGTAGATTGGTCCGATTTCCGTAATTTTTTTTTTTGTTAAATAGAGAAAGACGTATTGCAGGGCGCATTGGACTTGGATTTTCAAAATTATTTTTCGAAATCTTATATTACAAGTTTGAATTTAATCCATTTTTACAACTTTTTAGTTTTTGTATTATTATTTATTTTTAGCAACGTAATCAAAAATCAAAGTCCAATGCGCCCTGTAAAAAATATTCTTCTATCTAACAAAAAAAAATTACGGAAATCGGACCAATCTACGAGGTGTGAGAGTTTTTCCTGTAAACTGTGTTTTGACCGATATAATACACCCTATCAACCCCCCCCCCCTAAATAGGTATTGGGTAATAGATTAGTGGAAAAGTCTTATAATTGAGGTGGCAACTAAAATATAAAATTGAATTTTCAAATTTTATAGAATTGCGGAAAATTTGAAAAATCGCGACCAGGCCCCTTAATATAATGGGTCACTTGGCACGTGATTTTCCACCAATGGGATCGTGTTAGCTAGGTATAATCAGTATTTATATTGTTATGACCTAGAAAATATTACAAAAAGTCCCATCACCTAGACTCAAATCAAGGAAACACTCATACTGAAAATTTAACAAGTTCAAACTTCCGTGGCTTCGTGACATGGTAAAAGAAATGGGTAGAGTCTGAAGTCAGACATCTGGAGGTGGTAGTTACCATTGTAAGATGTTAGAGGGAATGCATCTACTAAGATGTACGTGGCTGACAGTGAATCGTATCAGAACAGAACAAGGTAGATGTGGATGACACCTTCTACATAAATGGAAGTATAGAAATGATCCTTCTTGCGATTTTGGGGAGACCAAACAAAAAATGGATCACAAAATGACAGAGTGCCAGAAAATACTTTTTTTTGTCAAGACATCACAGACATCCATAACGTTACTCGAGAAGCTATAGAATGGATCAAATTACTAGACATGGACTAATTATGATCTATAAGCTATAACATTTAATGTAAAAAAGTTTTAATTTTTACTCTGATTGTGTCAATTATTGAGATTATTGTGATTTTTACTCGTGATATTATTTAATAATTATTACTATGTATATGATAATATGTGTTTTATTAGTTCGCCATACGAAATAAATAATTATTAATCCTAAAATATGATTGACAACACACCATTCTATGAAATAATCACTATACGTAGGATAATCAAAAAAAATTTGTATTAAAATAAAACATTATTGACGTCAGAGAAAACAATAATAATTATTATAAAACGGAAGTCGGAAAATACATTATCATATTTTCGATTTTAATTTAATCCGTTCGGTATTGAAAAACTTAATTCTGTGAGTCGATTTAGATTGAATATATTATTTAATAACCCTACTCGAATATTGGAATTGATTCCGAGTTACTAAATACACATTTCAATGTTGAATAAAACATTTGATTGTAGTATTATAAAAACCATAGCAGGCAAACAAATGTGTTAAGACGCAAAAACGATCATTAAACACTTGAAAATTCCAACGTTAACTAATTTATAACATTAATGTCAGTATAACATACCTGTCCCGATACTGTGTAACACAATATGAGGATTAGTTGTAATGGTAATTTCGCTTTGAACGATCTATGTGTGAAATATCGATGGGCGCCGCCGGTAACACCAAATCCGCCAATACCGCCGACTAGAAAAGCTGTGCCATAAAACAGAAATAATCAATGAAATTTGAAAAATATCATCACTTAGAAAAATCGATTCGCCACTGGTTTGGTTCAAACCAAACTTTATACGCTTGTGTAAATGGTAAATGTCATAGGAATATTTACTAAATAACTAACGCATGAGCCCACCAACAATTGTTTGTCGAAACCCCGAAGCAAGAAACACTTGGGACAAATCTAGTTGGGAAACCAAATGTCCACCATACCTTACTTATATTTTGACTGTACTACTAATATTATACTTTGTATTTTATTTTGATGACATTATTATTGAATACAAAAAGTTTTTTTAAATATTGTCTTTTTTAAGTTTATTCAAATCATTACTTATTATTTAAATATTTTTAAGTTTTTAATTTTCTTAAAATTTCATTAAAATCGCCTATATCAAAACCCTTAAAAAAAGACTACCTAGTTAGATAAATAATTGTACTTGATTTAGAAAAAATACCTTTCGTTTTCATTGAAATTTAAATACAACTTTATAAAGCCGTACATTTACATTCTCCTCAGTTCGATTTTTAATATCATTAATATTATTTTCCTAAAATGTATTTTATAGTTATGTCCCATCTATGGCAACAGCCAGATTAGGCCTCGCTCTCTGCAGTCACGAGTGCAATACGAAAATAAACAAAACATCTCAGTTATTGTCACGAATAAAAACTTTCTATTGTACTCACATTATAAAAAACCAAGTACCTATAATACTCGTATACTATATTGACAGTCATCTTCATAAAAAAAAATAATAAACCAGAATGCATACGCCAGTTAGCTAAGTTATTAAATGTAACGTGTTAAACGCAGATATAAACGTGATAAAAACAAGCAAGTCAGCGAGAATTGAAGTACCATGAAAACGTTTACATTTTTTAACTACTTTAAATCTCAGTTGTTTTTCAATATTTCAAATTAAAATTGTTTTATGATAAATACAACATTTTAAAATGTATGGATTATAAATTATTATATCTCATTCAAGTGTTATAGTTCTTGGTATACATAGGTATATAATTTACGATTTAAAACGTAAAGTTATCATTATAAAGTACAAATAAAATATCTTTAACTTTTATGTTCATCTATAGAAGCTTAACACTTCAAAATGTATCATAACAATAGCATAGAATATATTATAGATACTTCAATACTTCATTCCAGCTATAGACAGTAAGTTGTTTAATTACGTCAATAAGATTGATCAAATATTTTACAAAACCATTATTTAACATGCAATTACCATTTGTGATGTCTTATTTATAATGTCTAAAAGATAACGAATTGCATACGCACAAATAATCATTCTGTTTTCTCAATAGGACTCGAACAATTAAATTATTTTAGATTTAAAAAAAAAAAACAATGTAGTTCTAACAATTGTTGAAACACTCTCCACCAATCGACCTAAACGAAACGAATGGAAACAAAATAACCTAAATGTGGTTCGACTTGTTCCTTGTTAGAATAATTGCATCGTTGGATTAGATTGGGTTAAGTTGCATCGTCAATGCACGAACATTATCATTTTATATTATTTCTATTTTAACATGTCCTTAAAATACTATAATATACGTTTATGAGGTTCATATGACATGATTATTACTATTTTCCGACCGGTATGCCCGAAACAATGTTGAGCAGTATCTAGATAAGTTAGATGGATAAAACTAAATATGTTCAAATAAATACATTTTGTATTAAGAAGGGGAGGGGGCGATTGAGAACGTTATACCTTTTTGACAACACTTAAAATTAAAAAAGAACTTACCTCTGACCCAAAAAATAATACGATTGAGAACGAATTTAAGTGCAACGTTGAAAGAAAATTTATTTGGCTATCGAAATATTAAGTAATATACCTAAAATACGGTTGTTTATATAGTTGTTAGCGTACATTTAAAAAAGTTTAAATAACACCCCTGAATTAAACAATTTATTTAATTTTTTTTTTTTTTTGATGTTTCCTTGTAATGCACCAACACTAAGAACACTATTTTATAAAATTAAAAAAAAGAGACTATTGGGGATCTGACCCCCACTTTCCCCCTTGTATACGCCCCCAAATTTGTTGGTACCTTTAACTCGACATCTAGATTAATAAATTGATTTTCAAAAACTCTCGTTTTGATTAATTTGTTATTTTTGACGCATCATCAATTAAAAATTTATTATACTACCCTTGAAAATAAATGCGAGTGGGAATTTGTGTGTAAATAATAAAATAATATTAATATGGTATATTATCCCATTGATCATGATTGTTCATTGATAATACGAAGAATTGGTAATGGTTTGCTTGTGATTAGAAAGGAATGGCCCGAAGGAAATAATAATGCAATTATGTCCGCATAAATTATACGCTACACACACACACACACACACACACACCCGCGCGTGCGCAATCATTGTTATTCGTTTTTCACTTTTTAGTTTTTTCAAACGCATCTAACGTACCAATAAATTAAGTATTTTATTATTACAATACCTACTTAGAAAACTATAGCACTATAATAGTATAGGCATCTAAAAACCCGAAAGTATTTAATTTTTTTTTCTTTTTGCAGTGTCGATATTTCCAACAGAACCATCAGAGCCCGAAAAAAAGCTCTTTTTCATCAAAACGTTAATCCTGATTATGCAGTTTCGGAAAGCACATCGACAAAAGCATTTTTAAATGGTTTATTTAAATATATAATAGGAATAAAATAATGAAAATACAATAGGTAAATCACTAAGAAATGTATTGATTGCTATATGCATTTAAAATAAAAAAATGAACATTTGAGAATTACTAAATAAAAACTTATTTATTTCGTTCTGGATAAAATTCAAATGATCTTTTCATAGGCGAAATAGCGTTTTAGATTTGGGGGGGGGGGCAAAGCCTTACTTTTATAACATTGAATAAGCTTAAAACAAAATGTAGGAAATGTTTGGGGGGCTGTGAACATTTTTTGGGGGCTTAGCCCCTAAAGCCCCCCCTATTTGCGCCTATAATCTTTTTCTGTTTCTAAATAATTTTTTAAAAAACTATTATTAAATTAAAATCCATTTTTTCAATGGTCTGACATTTATGCGTTGTTCTTTTGAACCTACACTGCCTATTGATTTGCAAATGCAAATACACGATTGTTGTGACAAATTATGATCTAATGGGTCATTAATAATAAATAATTTAAATTTATTTCATTAACCCCGTGGAAAAATTCCTCTTTAAATTAAGTATCTTTAGATCAATGGAAACCGCATATATATAATATAATATAAGAGTATATGACGTACTGTATGTATAATAATGTATACACTTAATTATTATTGTTAATACTATAATATTTTTATATACCTAGGTAGTTTTTAAATAAACAAATGTTTATGATTTTGACATAGAATAAATGCAACTGTAAGCAAAATATTTCCATCAGTAAACCGAACAATGCCTCAGGAATTTATAATACTATATAGCACAGGTATAAACATCAAGACTGGGTCTTTATTATTATATTGCATAACAAAATTGTTACTTTGAACACTAGACTTCCTACCTTTTAGTATATTATTATTTTAGACATAACTGCACGGCGTAAACCAAAAAATATGTATCCGTTTCATAATAATAATATTTTTTTATGAACGTTTTTTCTTTGCTCCAAAAGTTTCAATTAGCCTCCCGTCTATTAATATTGAAATTTAAGTCTAGTCGGTATACTCTGAATATAAAGGTCGCCAGGAGTAATCTTACCCTAAGTAAGCTTGAAGGAAAGCCGCACAGCTAGAAGTGAATATTATATAGAAGAAAAAATCAAGAACTCTCCGAGAAAACATAGTGGTTTTAACCGGACTCGGTTCGGTATTGGCTTTCGAAGACATCGTTCGTTGTCGAATTCAATATCACAAACCACCACTACATAATGTGCGATTATACCCTAAAGGTGCAGTGCGAAGCGAAACGACTATTATACTGCTGACATTATTCCCCTCGTTGTCTTTGTCTCCCATCTGACATTTTTCAAGTGAAACTTCTTCACAGAGGGTACGAAAAAAATAACAAAAGATTATCGGCCGTCATGACACTATGATGGTTTCTATGGTAATAAATAATAATCTTTCTAATTTTATTTTTAATACAAATAATAATACTAGTGTTTATAGTTAATGACAATATTATTAGGTTTTTGGACTAGATATTTTTATTTTAAATTCGATTTTGCGTTTGTGTATAAGTATAACCATAGAAACGAATAAAATTTAAAAATTACCTAATTCCCACTAGGCATAAATGCCTGTTATCTTATTATTGTCTATACTATGTTACGTCTTATCAATACAGTTTATATTTTCATATTTATGATTCTCAATTTTTTTTTTTAAATGGAAAGTACCTATACGATAGACGAATTTTTTTATTTTATTCCAATACAATCCTAATTCAACGCCGACCGTGACGGGCGATAATATTTCTCTTTTTTTTCGTAGGTACCCTCTGTAAAGAAGTTTCACATCAACCGCGCGACATGCACATATTTATTCAATAAAACGCACTCACACCATACGTAAGTCTGCCATTTCGTGGAGAAGAAGTAGTTGCAAAAACAGTATACGGATAAGACGTGCAACAGAGTGATGAACACGACGTTCGTCCATATGATTTCCTGCTTGCTGACTGGGAATTGCGACTTTTCTCCGTCGTAGTCGGTCGTCACCTGTTCCTTTTGGTCGTCCTTCGACAGGTACGTTTCCTGTTGTAACATGTCGGACTCCGTTATGGTCGTCGTCTTCGTGGCCATCTGGACCATGGTGGAGGAGGAGTGCCCTGCAACGCAAAATCGAAACAATAAATAATATTTAATTCGACCGTTGTTGGTATAAATCATAATGAGTATTATAATAATACAATAGGGGGACGGAGTGGCCGACGCTGGCTCGATACCTTGGTCATGGGCGACATTTTTCTTCGGGCAAGTCACGGTGTCCGGAGAACAAGTGCCGCCATCCCCCACCCGAGCATGACAGATACCTATGGGTGCAGCCCAATCAAAAATTCTGCCAAACCCAACACACACGTGTTTCTCCCCCTACTAATAATAATAAAAATAATAATAATAATAATAATAATAATACAATACTGTTTAAGTTGGTGCGTATAGTACACCGTATCTACATGTTTATATTTCTCGTTTTTAGCCGTTTCGTCGCACTGCGAGCGCATAATAGAGAAATTACGCTAAAAAAAAAAGTGCCGCCACTACAAAAGAGAAATACAAAATGGACACATAGTACGCAATAAATAATAATATAACAATATTCGTTCATTATGAAACACTCTTCTATTCGCGCGCCGTCATAGACTGCGATATAATTATAATATTATAACGGTCGTTCGACAATACGATACAGTACAACAATAATAATAATAATACTTACATAATAAAATAATATATATATATATATAATGGAACGTACAATATATTATTATTATTATTATTATATTGACGTAACCGTATAATATGCTATACACGACAAGACTCGAGCAATATTTTTTTATTTCGATTTTTTTTTTTTTTTTTTTGTTATCGTTTGGTTTGTTCGGCGAAACGGCGGCGGCGGCGGTGGAAATCGAATTCTTAACGCTTGTGAAACGGATTCGGACCGACACGAGACGCGAAAGCGTCAGCGGCGGTGGTTTCGCGAAAAACTGAATGAAAAAGGGAACGCTGAGCGCAACTATATATTATTATATTATTATAGTAATGTAATAGAAAATATATATAATAATACGAATTCGAATGAAACGCCCGCGCAAAAACGGATCGATCGATAACAATAATAATAATAATATTATAATGCACGCGATCGTTGTGCAAATTTTATCGAATTTTTTCGTTTTCGGAGTTTTTGTTTGTAAACACACCCGACGTCCGATCTACCGCCGCCCGAGGTGTTTTCTCGGGACTATTCTCTAGGACCAGCGTGGATCTAATGGTTTCGAAAAACAAATTTTTAATCGTCGCCAACAGTATAATAAAATTAGGCTATAAATAATAATATAATATAATAAGTAAATATAATAATATAATGTGTGAGTGCATCGTATGGAATTTCGACTTTTTCATTCGTCTCGATAGTATAATATTATAATGGCTTTGTTGTAGCGTTTGTTTAAAGTTTTGTGTTTTTTTTTTAAATAATAATACCTATATACATTGTGAGTACCGCGATTGAAAGAACTCCGCGTCTTGTCCAACGCTGGCGAAGACTTCTGACGTTTCAATACATTTGAATATTACGTTTATTTCACAACGATTTTGCGCGATATATAGCTGTACAAATAAATTATGAAAATAGTGCGATTTTTTTTTTAATTTTAATTTTCTCCACCTCAGCAAAATAGTTGCCAATAGATCCTGTTAAAACGGGCTCGACAATGCAAACGGTAAAGAACTAATGAACGAATGATTCAATAATACTATATTATTATCGACTGAATATCACACTGCAGCGTGACACAAATATTGCACTGAATTATTAAACAATTTTTAATTGTTTATCTCGTGGCGATATTAACACTGCTGCAGTTCTATATAATATTCGGAAATCTAAAATTCCTCTTTAATCTAAAATATTCGTTATCATTTATAAAATATTAATTATAAAGTCATGATTTTTTTTTTTTTTTAGCACGCCTGTTGCAATATTAAAACACGAATTAGATCACTGAAGATAATTAAAAAGAATTATAAGAAATTATGAGCATTTAATATACCGTTTAGGTACCTACTAATTGTGTCTGTCATAATATGATTAATTCATTAAGCAGAGCAAACGCGTACTAAATTACAATAATATTACAAGTTACTCGTTCGTGCTAAGGTATTTCAACATACGAGACAATTCCTATGTTTATTAATCAGTTAAAGTGGACTAGATATTTTTAAACGGTTTTTAAATCAATATTTAATATTCAAATGGTGGAATAGAAATGTATAACATTATACAATATACACACCGATAACTCATAATTTACAGTTAATTATATAATAGGTAATAAATATCACAAGTAAAAAGTTATGTTAACAACAATTAATAACCATTCAGCTCCATAAGAAAACTGGCAGAGTGTGATAAACATATTTTATTTGTAGACAATTCACCATAAACCAGATAAGGGGGGACGTTATTGATGAAATAAAATAGTTATAAAACACAAAAATATCAAACTCGATAGGTATTCATTTTTTTTTATATATAAAAGCAAGGTCTACCTATATCACTTAAATCTGAATTAATGCTAGGACTTATTATGCAATATAAAATGCTCAATTTGCATTTCGTTTTGAGAAAATAAGTCAAAATGTGTAATAAAAATATCATATAAAATTAAATCACCGATAATTTCCAAAACTGTATATCCATTAAGTCAAAATGAAGCATCTTTTAATTTTAATACAGATTGAGCGAATGAACCTTAGTATTTACTTTTTATGTAGGTAAGCTGTTAAATAATTTTTGTCCGTATTACACTGAAATAAATCTATTGCATTTTAAATGGTTTTCGTCAAAGACAAAGTCATTGAAGTATGAAATATTGAAATAATCAGCGTAATATGATGTCACATATTCACATTACTTCCGTTTAAATTGTATCTTCTAGAAAAAATGCATTTTTCGATTTCATGTATAGTTAAGTCATGCTATAATATGCACTAGTAACACTTTAAGTATGTAAAATAAGTAGATAATTTCTATGAATATTGCCAACTGGTGAACACGACTAACCAAATTTGTAAAAGAAAATGTAAAAAATCAAGCCTCATAACAATGCATTTAAATCTTAGCCCTAGATGTACCTTTATACTTTTTAAAAACACTTTCACGACTATCTTAGTAGTTATTACTAAAAATTTTAAATAATTTATATCGATGCAAAAGTGATATACCACAAGATTTTAGATAACACCTAATAATATAGTACTTGTAGAATTATGCATGCTATACACAATCAAATAAAATATGTTTAATATTCTGTAAATTGTAACGTATAAACATAGATGAAAATGTCCAATGTTACAAAAAATTTGTATTGAAATCGATTGTAGATAGAGGGAAAATAAATACAAATAAAATTTCACTGATGTATGAGGCTTTACGTTGTGTATGAAAAAAATTGTATTTTAGAATAGAAATTTAAGTGAATTCCAAAGAAATGGACTAATTGGCGAGCGAAAACTCGAAAATCCTCTCCGATAGGATATAATAATATTATTATATAAGTCATATAAGAGACATCATAACCCAATTCAAAACACGAAACACTTTTAAAATTTGTGTACGACCCACGTTTCGGTTAAGTTTGACACAAATCTTAAGCAATCGTGATAATAAAATATAAATTATTGTAATGATATGCATTATAATAGGTATAATAGTATGCAATCCAATGATATAGTTACTCACCCAAAATTAGTAAAAAAAAAAAAATGCCGAATCGATGATAATATCAAACACAGTATTTTGACGAGTGAAGACTGCCACCAGTCTCTTCGTTGGTGACTCCTGCAGCAACTACGCGATTTTTCATTTCATTTTCGGCGAGCCAGCTATGGTGTCGGTTAACGCGGCCCCACTACAATGCGTCATGTTCGATGAAGAAGAAATGGTATTTAACAAGCAAACACCTAGGACCTAATTCCAAATGTAAACAGACAATTCAAAACACTTATATATATATAGTCGTACGAATGTGTATTATGTGCGTGCATACGAGTATTACTACTGCATATATATATATTACTATTTCGAAAGTTAAATAATTCGTGTACAGGCGGAATTCGTGTACATAGCTTTTGATGTTTGCAATCGACGGTTGGAGTAAGATTGGTCGAACCACAAATAAAATATAATAATGTTTTATTGATTGATAATTATATTATATTATATTATTATGTGTATACCTGGCTATAGTACCTACATATTCGCAAAACGCAACAAAAACGAGGATAACATAATTATTATCAAACAATCTAGATTTATGACAAAGGTGGGTATTACAGTTGTAACTAATATTATAATGTTATATTTTGGTCATTTAAGTATTTTTATCATTACAAATTACATTTAAATTGATAATAATTACTCGAGTAACAAACGTTATGAACGACCATCATAATATTACGTTAAACGACATATTATACTAATTTCACGATAATTTAATCGTATCACCCAAATATTGTATTGTTACGATTTGCTTTGTCAGCACACTACGCTATCACATTATACTTTTAACGGTTATGTAAAAACAATATACATAAGACAATTATAACTGTCTACTGTCTAGGCGAGCTTATAATTATTAAACATTTAAAATGTCAGTGACTGAATAAATACAAGGAAGAAAAAAATTGTAAATTTTCTTATACATAATATTTCTATACAGTGTATAGTGTATACCTAGAGAAAAAAATTGTAACAGATATTTTGTTTCCAGTGTAATGAAGAAGTGTATCAGGTTACTTCTAAAAAGCCACATGTCTTCATAACTTTTCCCGTCATCACAGCCACTGGAAAACGTTAAGTTTCCATATTACGACGTATTTAACGGTGTATGAATGTTAAATATTTACATGGAATTAACAATAACTTCAGATGAGATTGTCGATGAGATGAGAAAAACAACGATAAAGAGATTGGCTTTACATTTTTTACTTTACCAATATAAACTGTTAAATTTTTAAGATGCAAACTTTTATTGTTTAAAAATTATATTTATTATTTCTATAAATAGGTAATAAAGATTTTA